AATGAATTTTTTTTTTTTTGGTGAACCTTTTTTTTTTTGGTGAACTGAGTTTTGTTATTTTATGTACATTGGAATAGTTTTTAATAATCGAATCATCCAATGTAACTTGTTATGCATCTTTTTTGTTTCGTTGATTTATAACGTTATATCTTTTAGAAGTATTTTCTTAATTTTTCAGAATGAGATCTCTAAATATTTCTACCCTTCTTATATCTTTTAAACTCTCAATCTAACAAATGCATTTTCATTGTTTCTTTCCATACACTTAATTTTATTTTCCATCTCTAATACCTTTTGCAACCTTTCTTTATTTGTTCGTTTATTTTTCTTACAATATAGTGCTTACTTTATTTTTGTTTTTTTATTTTTGAAAAGAGAAACCTTACTTCATTTTTTTTCTTGGTTGCATAGCTTTTGCTTCTTTTTTTTTTTTACTACATTTGACGACCAAGGTTCATTTCTTGAAAATTTTGTTATGATATTTTATTTTTTTATTATTATCTTCATTTTTTCTTATATTCTATATGATTTTTCCCTCTACATAATTATTTTCAATATCTGAATATGATTTTCTTCTACTATTTGTCTCTCACAAAAACCTTTAATTTTTATCTCATTTTGGAAAACTTTCTCCATCTTAAAGTTAACATTTATTAGTAATTATATGTCTATATGTCTTGTTTTATCATCATAATGTTAAACTTTTCTACCATTTAATCATATGGAAAAAATATAATGATGATTATTATATTAATTTATTTGTTATATTATTAAAGTTTGGCCGCTTAATATAATTATATTATTAGTATTATTATTTTAATTTTTTTTGTAATTTTTATTCTTTACAAAAGGTAATCAACAGTTATTATTTATTAGTATTGCTCTTTAATGGGCAAAAAGTATAATACTATTAAAAATATTTACAATCAAAGCACCACCAACTGAAATTTAGACCAATACACTAACCAATAAATAAAAAATAAACTCTGATTAACGATTACACTTTAACACATAACTATAAAAATCAATATTGATCGGTGAATTGCTTTTTCTCAGCTGGGCTGTTGGTTTTTTTCATGAATTTTTTTTTTAGTTTTTTATTTCATTAGGTTATCTTTGGATTTATTAGTTCGAAGTTTCTTTTTGGTCACCTATCTTTTTTTATAATAAATATTTACCATTAAGAAGTAATCTCTTAGTTAATTAATTTAGTTTTATGTGTAAATTTATAATTTTATATTATAAAAATTACAAATAAATGATGGAGTGATGTGGTTACGATATGACCGAATAAACTTTAGTTATATTAGTTATAATATGATCTCTTGGATAATGTAATCTCCTTTTTTCAAAACTAAATTATATGGTTTTCCTGTAGTATTAGCTCAATTAGGTTGAACAAAGTTGATATGAGGTAAGTTGGAGGAAGCCGGATTGTTTCCTACATTAAAGTGCATGTCAATTGCTTTTCTTGGGTCAAAACAATACGAAAAATATCTCAATATGATTTTCTTCTACTGTTTGTCTCTCATAAAAACTTTTAATCTTTATCTCATTTTGAAAAAAAAATTTCATCATAAAGTTAACATTTATTAGTTTTCATATGTCTATATGTTTTGTTTTATTTATCATAACGTTAAACTTTTTTACCATTAGTTCATACGGAAAAAATATAATGATGATTATTATATTAATTTATCAGTAATTATTTATTATATTATTAAAGTTTGGCAGCTTAATATAATTATATTATTAGTATTATTATTTTACTATTGTTTTTATAATTTTTACAAAATGTAATCAACAGTTATTATTTATTAGTATTGCTCTTTAATGGGCAAAAAGTATTAAAAAAAGTTACAATCGAAGCACTGCCAACTGAAATAAAAACCAATACATTAACCAAGAAATAAGAAACAAACTCCGATTGACGATTACACTTTAACACATAACTGTAAAAATCAATATTGATCGGTGAATTGGTTTTTCTATTGGGCCGTTGGGATTCTTTTTTTTTTTTTTATGAATTTGTTTTTTTTTTTTTTAGTTTTTTATTTCATTTGGTGATCTTTGAATTTATTAGTTCAATGTTTCTTTTTGGTCACGTCTCTTTTTTTAAATAAAGATTTACCATTAAGAAGTAATCTCTTAGTTAATTAATTCAGTTTTATGTGTAAATTTATAATTTTATATTATAAAAATTACAAATAAATGATGGAGTGATGTAGTTGCGATATGACTGAATAAACTTTAGTTATATTAGTAATAATATGATCTTTTGGATAATGTGATCTCCTATTTTTAAAACCAAATTACATTATTTTCCTATAATATTAGCTCAATTAGGTTGAACAAAGTTGATATGAGGTAAGTTACGGGAAGTCGAATTGTTTTCCTACATTAAGGTGTATGTCAATTGCTTTTCTTGGGTCAAAACTATATGGATTCTGACATAACATATGGGCAATTGATAGCCCGCGCGAGGACATAATTAGTTTTATTTTTTTCCTTGTGTAATTTTTAGTTAATTTAGTTTTACTTTTAAATTTATAATTTTATATTAAAAATTACTATTAAATGATGGAGTGATGTGGTTACGACATGCGAACTTATCTATCTAATTTCCTTCACATGGATTAGCCTATCTAACTTTGCGACATTTGTCCAATTGAAAACTCACCTTAAATATATATATAGAGATATATATATATATATAATTTTAATAAAATATTATGAAATTGATAAATTTTTCGATGGTTCTTAAAATATTCAACCATGGATTATTTTGTGGGAACAACTACTTTTTTTTTTAAATAAAGAATTTTGAGTGACGTGATTAAAATTTTGATAATGTAATTTTCTTTTCAATGGATCGGGCCAAGCCCAAGGAGTTCATATATAGATGTAAAAGCTATAAACCCCATATAAGATTCCAAAAAGTCAACCGATTCCACCCCAAAATTAATTACTGTCTACCGCCAGTCTAACGGAGTAACAGTGTACTGTGTTCATCGTAAGTTACTTTTTCCTAAAATCCAATCCCACTTTTGAGCAAAATCTGATTCCATCTTGATTTATAATTGCATTTGGCTCACGCATATCTTTCCAGTTCAAGGTTCGACGCGCGTAACAATACGACAAACGGAGTAGTAACTATAATCGCACATTAGGTTAGGGTTTTTGAGTGGCGGAGCACCAAGCAATTGAGCTGTTGAGGAGGAGATCGGTAGGATAGCGGAACCAAGCAAAGTGTAATATGACAAAACAGAAGGAGATTTTCCAGCAGAAGGAAGAGGGCAAGGTTAGAATGTATGTCTGCGGTGTCATGGCTTACGATTACAGTAAAAAATTTATTTTTTTATTTCTAACTTTAAATAAGTTGATATTTTCATGACCAAAATTTATTATTTTATAGTTTTGTATTTAATCGTTAAATTAATAATTATCATATATTAATAAATTAATAACTTATTAATATTTTAAAAAAGAAATTTTAATTTATACTAGCTAAGAGACAGAGTAGAGTTTTTGAATTATATGATTTAATTCTTAATTTATCCCTTTATATACAAGTTCAAGAAAAACACAAACTATCTTTTTTATATATATTAATAAATATTCCTAATTTTTTAATTCTTATTTTGTATAATTACTAGCTAGTCAAACATCAATAAATTAATACCCTCATAACCAAATATTATTGATTTTAAATTTATTTTTAATCGTTAAATTATATCTATAAATAATTTCATAAATTAATAAATAAATAATTTCTATTAATTAATTTATAGAAATTATTTTGAAAAAAAACTTCCAATATCTAAGAATTGGGAGATAAAGTCAAGTTTGGATTATAAGAATTTAATTTTTAAATTATTACCATAAATGTTTATTTTAAGGTATGTATATTCACATTTTAATAAAAATTGATATTTTTTATTTATATTTTGTATAATTATTAATTAATTTTATTAAGGGGAGCAATATTTATATAGAGGTTTTGTGAAAAATATTATTTATTATTTATAATGTTCCAAACTTAAGATCCGGAAAAAATATTAATTTATAGAATACTTATTTTTAGATGTTTTATTGGATATAGGTAGGGAGAAAATTCTTGAGAACTTTTCACATGTATAAATTAACTGAGTTTTATGTAATGCCCACAAACCATAACCAATGCATTTATACACCTCAAAAGAAACTTCAAATTACAAATCAATGTATATTTTTTGTAAGGAAATGGTTTAAGAAAATCAACTATTACAAGTTATTATTAAACTATAAGTTCTCATGATTTTGAATTCCTTCATCTAAACTATTTCTTTTCTTTTATCATTAATATTTACAACAAATGAAATTTTATAACCTTATTTGACGAAATATTCTAAATATTCTTCCGACAACTCAAAATTTTGTCTATAATTTTGGATTTCCTTTTTTTCGCACTTTAATCTTTCACATATATATTTACGTAGTAAAACACCTTTTCGAAATTTTTTAAATAATTGAAATTCTAAATTGGGAAGGTTGAAAATGCGTAATTGTTCTTTTGTTTAAAACAAGAAATTATTATTAAAGGGTTCGAATTGTAAAAAAATAAATAAATGGGCTTAATTCAGAATCTTTTAAAGTTGGAAATAAATTCTTTGGAGACAAATGTATGGGTACTTTGTTAAAACCCAATAACCATTCTACAATAGGTTAAGGAATTGGGTGTTTTACTTCCAAAATTAAAATCGTCTGATCCTTCTACTTCCTTTCTACGCCAGGAAACACACGGTGTCGCTGCCGCCGTTGACTTTTTGGTATTAATTCCATTGTTAAACCCCAATCTTTTAATTTTTCCAGCAATAGGGTAAGAATCTCCAGAAAAAACACACCATCTGCCTGGTGCGCCTAGGCTTCTGCCGGCGTATACACGGATCCGCCCACATTAGATTAGGGTTTTTGAGTGGGGAGCACAAATCAATTGAGCTGTTGAGGAGGAGATCGGGAGGATGGCGGAACCAAGCAAAGTGGAATTTCAGTTATACAATAGCATGACAAAGCAGAAGGAGATTTTCCGGCCGAAGGAAGAGGGCAAGGTTGGAATGTATGTCTGCGGTGTCACGGCTTACGATTACAGTCACATTGGCCATGCTCGCGCCTATGTCTCCTTTGACGTCCTATATAGGTTTGTTTCTCACTTTTTATCTACTTTTTTTTGGGTAGGGTACTGGTGGGAGTTTAGCTTATTAAATTGTTAACGTTTGAACTTAAAATTATCTTTATTTGAGTGTTAGCTTTGATTAATTTTTAATTGTCCCGGATTTGAGCAAAATGCACGAAGAAGGTTGAGTTCGAAGAACATATAAATGCGAATTAATAACCATGGGTTTCCTGTGATGCAAAGGAATGCTAATTGATGTAATTTTTCTTGAAGTTTTTTAAAAAAGTTGCATATCTGTGCTTTCTCGCTTTTCTCTGAGATGTATTTGAAAGTTATGGATGGATTTAGTGTTCGATTTCGTATTTTGATTGATGGACTGTGGATCGAAGTTCTTCTGTTAAGTTAACGTACTTAGTGGCATTTTGTTGGCCATAATTAATTTCATCATTAATCAACTTTGGAAGCAGCAGGAGATTTCATTTTTTTTTTCTTGTTCTGGATTGTCTTTTACTGTCTCTATCGTTCCATCCCAGCTTGGAAACTTTGGAGCATAGTGTCCTTTTTTTTAATTTTTATTTTCTTTGTGAAATGATGTTAGTTCCATGAATCTTGAGTAAGCACGGATGAACTATTGCTCTCTGAAACTGTATGATAGAAAAACCGGAAAAAAACCCGTTACAAGTGTTGTGGATGGCTGCTCGAAATTCTCTGCAGCTGCAGTTTCTCTTGCTTATATATGTATGTTGTCTACTGTCATTTAGCTTAAATTTTATGTAATCTTTTCTTTTTGTTTTCTCGCGCTATCGTTTTAGCTACTTTTTGACACTTATTTCTAGTAGCATTCTTATTTATTGTTGAAGAGATGTGATAATTTCCTTAAATTGGTTTCAGGTACCTAAAACATCTGGGTTATGAAGTTGTTTATGTTCGGAACTTCACCGATGTTGATGACAAGGTAAACATCTCATTCCTTTTAACAGGGAATCAATTAGAAGTTCATATTTCCTGTTTAATGATTCATTTTCCATCTGTAAGGATTTCATGTATTACAATCTGGGAATGTATGTGTTGAACATGTTTGTTTTTGGAACTTTTTATTGATAGAGCTCGTACCATGTTAAAAGAAAAAAAGCAAGAAAAAGAAAACTGTCCTGTGCATGTTGTTATACTCCAAGATTAAATGATTATGTCCAGCATCTAAAAGTACTGTTTTCCTGAAACGCTTCACATTCAGATCTGTGGATTGTAACACCCTTTTGGTTAAACTTTTCATTATATGGGATCACTGGAGCACTACTCTGTTTGTATCGATAGTTTCTTTTGCTTTTTACGCAACTTCTCATTAACTTGTTCATTGTATTTCAGCCAATTTATGAGCAATACCATTACTACCATTATTGTTATCTTGTTCTTAACATTGCAAATTCTCCAGATCATAAAAAGAGCAAACGAAAATAGAGACAAAGAATCTGCCAATGAATTTCGTGAAGATGCATTATCTTTGAGTGCTCGATTTTGTTTGGAGTTTCAAAAGGACATGGATGCTCTTCAATGTCTTCACCCTACCCATGAACCCCGTGTCTCTGATCATATAGAAGATATTAAACAAATGATATCTCAGGTATTTATCTCCTATTTTTATTAAGCTCTATGCAGGTATTCTGTAATGTTGATAGCTACAAATATGGCGTAAAAACTTTGTCCGCATAAATATAGCTGCATAACTGAGTGCAACCTATTTAAATTGTATTTTACTGATCTTTCTTTTGTTGGGCTTTTGCATATTTTTCAAGAGATCTCAAACTTTCTCTAAAATAACTTTACACAACCTTTTTCTAAAATTTTAATTTCCCCCATAATGTCTTTACACTATGCCATTTTCCTCACTTCTATCCAATATTCTTTCTAAAAGAAAATTCTCTCTGGAAGTGTTTCTTTCTGAAGAATTATTTTTGTTCGAAGTAGTTTCAATGTAGCCTTTGTTGACGCTGTTAGTCTATTTTCTGTTCTTAATGTCTCGACAGTTGTAAAGTTTTCTGTCCATTCTTAGTATATAGTTTGCGGTGCCTTCTTAGTATATCTGCTGTGGCCTTCTAAATCCTACGTGCGGAAAACTTGAGAATGAGAATGCAGGGAAACTAGAATTCTGTGTGTTATACTAACTATAAACGACATTGATGTGGTGGTAGATGTGGCATATGCACTATGTGATAACTCGTTCCCTTTTGTTTATACATTGTGACATTTGTTCTTCTATAACAGGGATTATGTATTTTTTTTTATTGATTATTGTGATTTTGCCTTTTTTTTGGGCAGATTATAGACAATGGTTGTGCTTACATAGTTGATGGGGATGTGTACTTTTCTATTGATAATTTTCCAAACTATGGAGTACTATCTAGAAGAAATTTGGTGGATAATAGAGCTGGAGAACGAGTTGCTGTTGATTCAAGGAAGCGAAATCCAGCTGACTTTGCCTTGTGGAAGGTGAAAAATAGTTATATCTTTAGTTTATGAAATACCAATTTTATATCACTCATCCCATATCAATCTGATGAACAAGTTGGAGCAATGTCTGCATAAATGTTTTTTGCAAGAACAGTTATAATTTGCTTTTATCAAATTGAATCAAATTTGAATGACATTAATTGATGAAAAGTTAACCCCATCTTGATTTGACCCAGGATTTTGGGCTGTTGGTTGTTTTTCATTTAGTAGTATTAAGATCGGACTTGTATTTCTGCAGGCTGCGAAGCCTGAGGAGCCAAGTTGGGAGAGTCCGTGGGGTCCGGGAAGACCAGGATGGCATATTGAATGCAGTGCCATGAGCGCTCGGTATCTGACGCATTCTTTTGATATTCATGGTGGTGGGATGGATTTGATTTTCCCTCATCATGAAAATGAGATTGCCCAAAGTTGTGCAGCTTGCTCAGAGAGCAACGTGAGGTACTGGGTACATAATGGTTTTGTCACCGTTGATGATGAGAAAATGTCCAAGTCTCTTGGTAATTTTTTCACTATTCGTAAGGTAAGAAAGTGCAGCTGTCATCATATGTCACGGTTATGATTCCTGCTTCTATTTAACGTGCCTTTTGTAGATTTTGTTGCCGCTATTGATGTGTATCACGTTCATTTTATTTGGCAGGTTACCGATGAATACCATCCACTTGCATTGCGATATTTTTTGCTGGGGATGCACTATCGTTCTCCCGTGAATTACTCGATATTGCAGATAAATAAAGCATCAGATTCTCTTTTTTACATTTATCAGGTAGAATTGAATGACACTATGTTTACTCCCTCTGCTGATGATTTTATATCTTGTCTGATTTACTGGGACCTGCAAGTCACCTTGCAATTACTTGTAACTATCTGGATATAGATTGACAACTTTAACATCTGTATGTCTTTCTACATACTTTTCCAGTCAGTTCGAGTTGAGGACTTAACTGCTGTTACTGTGTTACTCTCTGACTGTGGTAGATGCTAGTATAATGAAATATCTTCTTTAAGCTTAAGCAAAGAGATGGAATGATTTCCTTTGGTTGACATACTGTATGCCCCTTTGTTTTTGCCTGGATCCATATGGGAGCTGATGTTGGTTTGAAGATTCTTAACTGTAGTTCTTTTCATTTTTTTAGGATTTCGTTGGCTAATAGATATAAAAGAAAGCACCAGTATGTAGTTATTGTTAGTTTGAACCAGATATCATGAAATATACTTTTTTGTCTATTAATGTTAGTGTGGACCATCACATTGGCTGCATATTGTGTTTGGTAGACCTTGGAGAAGTGTGAAACTGTTCTGAGGGAATTCCAGGAGAAGAAGGTTGCTACTGATTACCTTGATGCCAAAGTCAGCCGTTCAGCACAGGAATGCCTTGAGAACTTGCGTAGAGAATTTGACATAAAAATGGCGGATGATTTGCATGCCCATGTCATTGTGACTGGTGCGTTGGCAGATGCCCTGAAAGTTATGAATAGTTCTTCAGACGATCTTCAGGTAAGGATTTAGCATTTCTGCAAATTCTTAGTCTTGGTGTGATGCGGAGGTGTATTTGCGTGTGTTCCGTTCGCTGACCTCAGAAAATTTCAGAAAAATCTACGGAAGAAACAAATACCCAAGCAACTGAAGTTGGGTCCTGTACAGCCCCTTGAAGAGTTGGAAAAGGAAGTGAGAAAAGTTTTGAATATCTTGGGGTTGCTTTCAGACTCGATGTACTCTGAGGTATTTTTAAATTACTTTGATGGCTTTGTAGCGGTCTTGTCTTTAAGGATGATGACTGTTTTAGGTGTAGTGGAATTGCTCTCATTAAACCGGCATGGCTTTGGCAGGTGCTAATGCAGTTAAAAGAGAAAGCTTTGCAAAGAGCTGGGATGAGAGAGGAAGATGTTTTGCTTAAAATTAAGGAAAGAGCAGAATTAAGGAAAGCGAAAAAGTTTGAAGAAGGTGATAAGATTAGAAGTGAGTTGACTGCCAAGGGTATTGCTTTGATGGATGAGGGTAAGGAAACAATTTGGAGGCCATGTGTGCCGCCTGAAGAAGAACCCGTTCAGAAAGAACTCAAGACTGCATTAGTTGAACCTGTTCAGTCGCTTGCATTGACAGATCAGGAACACAAGTCAACTCCACCAGCTAGTTGACACAGAAGTCTCAGGATTACTAGTGAGTAGTAGAGGTTACCATCATACACAGTCATACTATTTGAAACAGTTAGATTATATTTATCGCATGGGGGCAACGTAACACTTCAGGGCTTCCTATATTAGTACTGATCAATTTACTTTTTGTATCTCTGATGGATCAAAGTCTGTAGGGGTGTGTGAGTTTGATACCATTTTGACTGTAAAAGTAAAACTTAGCATGGCATCAATTACGATGAACCCTCTGATTATTTTGTCACATTTTCTTTGATTATTTTGTCTACTTTAGGACGAACCCTCTGATTTTTTTGTCACATTTTCTATGATTTTTTTTTTAATTTTTTAAAATTTTTTTATATACACATGTGGCGTGAAGCTTGGTTTACAAAAACAAACTCGAGTATGAGTTGAGTTGGGCCAGTCTATGGCCATTTTTTCTAGCATCTTAGGCGGGGTGATGCTAAAATATGTAACCCCGAATTAGATAGGAATCCTAGTTCTGCTAGAGAATTGGTGGATTCGTTTCCTTCTCGTCTAATGTGTGTTGTTTCTAATACCCAATGTCTATTATTTATGAGTTTCCTGATTCTAAGTGAACATTGCTTTTTACGGGGCCTTTGGAAACATTATTTATTTGCTGAACAACTTGGAGTGAGTCCAGCTGCAATTGGATCTTCCTGAAGCCCAACTCCCAAGCGATTTCATTTTCTTTGATTTCTTTGCCTACTTTTCTAAAAGGGATGAGTTTGTGGTGAGCCTTGTTTAGGAAGCCTCTCACCTTGTTTAGGGAGCCTCCTGGGCATTGCTCGAGGCTTTGAAGCCCAGTGGGCCACTTCCACTCTTTTTTTGCAAATTTATATTTCGGCTGATAACGTTTGATGGATTAAAACACTTAGATTAGAGAAAGACTATCCACTTAAAGGAAGTATCCCGTACTAATCAGCTCAAACGCCTGATATGCAGCAAATAAGCAACGGGCAGCAACTACCATGGATCCCCCCACATCAGTGCGTGAAGATAAACATTGATGGAGCTGTTTCCATGGTGTCCAGGAAGGCGGCAGCAGGGGGCGTAATCAGAAATGAGGTTGGTGAGTGGATTATTGGCTTCGCCGCCAACTTGAGATTTTGTAACAGTCTAGAAGCAAAATTTTGGGGAGCTTATTTTGGACTCCAAATTGCTTGGACTCTTGGATTTCATAATATTATCTTAGAATTGGATTGCATAGAAGCAGTCCACCTTTTGACAGGCGAGGAGGTCGCCACTATAAATAACCAAGTATTTTGTAGAGTCAGAGGTTTTCTAAACCTCCAGTGGCAATGGTCCGTGATCCATGCGCCCCGGAATCAAAATGGGGTGACGAATGAGTTTGCAAAATTCGGTTTCTTGTGTCCTTATGGCAACCATATTTTGTCATCTCCTCCGGTTCAAGTTATGGATTATTTAGAATCGGATAGAGTAGGATCATCCCCGAGTTAAAGGGATGTTTTGTACCAAGCTTTCGGCTTCTCTATTATATATCTTACTATATTAAGAACAAAAACCACACTTAAGAGAAAACACCATCATTTGCCATGTGGCATTTCTACATCATATTTTTAAAATAAATTTTTATTTACACATCTCATAGACTTAAAAAGGCAAATGCAGTCCAAATCCACCTCTACCTCCTATTTTTGCCAAAACCAAAAAAAAAAAAAAAACTACGGGTTCATGAAAAACCCAAATCTTCATCCCCATCTGCACGACAATCGACTTCCTAATCAATCCCTTCTCCACAATAAAAAATAAATAAATAAATTTCTCATCAATTATCAATTGAGAATATGTAGTGAAATATACTCCTTTCCTATTAGCATGTTCAATCTTTTCATTAGTGATTATCAACTACATCCTAATCGGATAAAATTTCGACTTAAAAAAATAATCTCTTTACCCTTCCATATAAACACAAAGGAAAAAAAAAATTCTCATTGATCTTGCTTCGGCCGTTGTGGTGGTGCCATTACAGGTATTAAAATTTAAATGATTTTATTTCCACAGATTATTTGTTTGGCTTTTATTATTTTTTGTTTTTTCCGTTCAAGAATAGTGTTATTACTATTATTTTTACGCGTTCATCCGTTACAGCTACCGTAGCCGTTGTCAGGCAATATGATGTGATTTGTTATATGGTTAATTAGCCTAGAATTTTTGTATGATTTTAGTTCTGTTTGGATTGAATTGATTAATTGGGTTTCTGTTACAAAGTGTGGTTTTTTAAATTTCTTTTTTATGTTTCATTCAATTAGAGTAGTTTTCTTTTTTTAATTATGGAGTCTCAATTTTTTTCATATATGGTCAGTTATGAAGTGTATTTTTTCTTTGTTTAATTGCTTTTGATTTTGTTTCATACTCCCAGTTGACCAATTATTATTATTATTATTTTATTTTATTTGCAAACAAAGCGCGTTATTTTTTTTTATTGTTTGGGCTTTCAATAATATACTTTTTTGAATTTGATTTTTGAACTTTATTTAGCTCCTCATCATATAAATACTTCAGGTCGCTTCTTCTAACTAATTTATGGGAAAGTCTTTTATGAAATTGAGGTGGAGAGTGAAGGAATGATGTTTCTACGTTTATTTGTGTTTTTATACATCATTTTTACTTTCAGAAAAAAATAAATTTCTCAATTTTTAATGGACTATTTTTTACTTTCTTTTTTTTTTATTTGCCATAGTGAGGTGAGTTCTTTTTCACTATACCTTGAAACTATGCAAATTTATATTATTTTCATTCTCATATTTGTGATCAACCAGTTTCAACAATTAACCAGTTTCAAAATCATATTTTTGATATTTTACTACCTATAAACTTTTGGAAGAAATAGTTCTAACAATTAAGCGTATACCCTTTGGAGGAAGCTTGCTACAAAGCTATTATAAATCTCCAAAACTAAGTATTGATATGGCACAACATCAATAAATGATCTTACTAATATTTAAACTTATTAGGATGCTTTTATATTTTGTCTAGCATTTGCTTCAAGACATATATTTGATCAAGTTTATTTATATTTAAGAAGTAACACTTATAAAACATTTCTAAAATCTTCAAATATTTCTAAAAACGTACCGGACCAAATAAAATTTCTTTTTATGCCAAATAAAAATATTTCTATGATCACACTTATAAAAAATTTCTAAATTCTTCAAACATTTCTAAAATATATATTGCCAAATACAAAATATTTTTTTTCCAAATACAAATATTTCTAAGATCTACAAATATATTAGGCCAGGGTCGCGCATTGACATCACTAGTATATATATAAAAAAAGAAAGACTATCCACTGTGCCTTTATCATAAGATAGAGATTGAATATAAATTTTCTTGGTAAAATTTAGATTAACGGCACTAGGGAGTTTTTAATTAATAATAATAAAATGGGTACAAGTTTTACATTATATGAATTAAGGACAATAAATTATTTCCTCTAAATCATAAAATTAATTTTTTTATTCACTACCATAATGGCCCTTAATTATTCTTTTGACCTATCACCTTGTACTAAAGAGAAATAAAATCAAAATCCTTCTTCATTTCTCCAGCCGAGTATGATTGCTCGATTTCTTTCAATAAATATTCATTCATCGGCATTTTTGCAAGTAATATAGCAAATTGGTTTATAAAATTGACAGTGATCAATTCATTTACTCTTTTTGGCAATCAATTCAATTCGAGTCATAAAATAATCTGATTTAGTTTGTCTTTCTCTATATTATAAACTAATAAATTTAGTTATTCATAATAATTTTCTTATTATTCCATGCACTTAAATATAATATGATTTAAATTTTTCAAGAAAAACTCTTGCAACCCAAAGATTTAAATATAGAATTAGAATATGTAACGAATGGAAAAAGTTAGTCATCTCTAGGACAATAACTACATCCAGAAGGGATTTCATTCTTGAGGGGAAAAAAAAATTTGGAGAACACATAAGAAAAGTGCTTGAAGGGATAGCCCATACCACATGGAAAACAAGAAAAACTATATTCAAGAACTAATATTTGGTGGATTAACATTCAAAATAAAAATGCCCAAGTATTAATATTTGGTGAAAGAATTTGAGCAATAATACGCGGCTAGAGAAATGAAGAAAGATTTTGATTTTTTTTTTTCTAGTACGAGGTGAGAGGGTCAAAAGAATAAGGTCAATTATGGTAGTGCATTATAAATTAATTTTATAATTTGGAAAAATTATTTATTGCCTTTAATCCATATTATGTAAAAGTTGTATCCCTTTTATTAAATAAAAATTCCCCACTGCCCTTATCAAAATTTTCCTTTTCTTTATACTTAGGAAAAAGAGAGCAATTTTATTTTATTTTTTTAATTCACCAAAAATTGGGAAACAGATGCAGTTATCAATTTGTGAAACATGCAACCTTGTTGAGATTAAAAGAGGATGAAATCCCTAGAGCTGTGATGGACAGGAAAAGAGGAATTTGTGACTGATTTGGGATCTCAAAAGCCAGAAACTGAAAGAAGGAGACGAATTCGAAAGATAAAACTGGAGGCATTTTCTTAACACAATTATTTCGTTTTCGGATGGAAGTAATGTGGGTTGAAGTTGAAGAATTCTAAATGCTTCAGAAACTACATTGATTCATTTACCTTCTATCGAGCCCTTGATTGAGATAATCCCACCAAAAGAAGAAAAGGACAGTGTCTATCATTCGTACGATCTAGAAGAAAACACTCAAAAAAGAAAAAAAGGAAAAATATAAAAAGAATTTAATGGTCGGCTCGCAAATTAGTACATTTCAGTACTTGTTTCTCGGCTCATCACATATCAAATTCAAGATGTAATATGTCAACCCCTAAGATAGCTGATCCCTGCAAATTGTAAGCTGTCAAAGATGACCGACTGCTGAAACAATAAGTATAAGGGTAAATTGGAGATGAATAATATCCCTCTGTTCCAAAATTATTGTCCAGTTTGAGATTTCACT